CTGAGTTGAGCAGGGTCCGTGGCCCGCAACAAACTTTCAAAGATGGGTTGTGCTATATCGTGTAAATGGAAAATGAAATACGGTCTGATCAGCTGCTCGGTGTTTCAAACAGTTTCACAGGCTGTTACTAACAATAAAGAAGACATTTATGTAGAAGAAATGGAAATCTCACTTTTCGACCTAACCGATGTACGTGTTTAGCTTTCGCGAGCGGTGCGGGTACACGATTGCGCATGCATTTGGTCATCATACAGTGTGTATTTCGGGAGACGAGACTTTAAGAAATTTAAACGGACCTTTCCCGCTATAAATTTGAAAAGTTAAGTCAACATAGCACTCATCACTCGATTTGTGTCCCTCGATATTTTGCTGTATCTCAGCTGATGCATACAACAAACAAATACGATGTGTATATGGCGTTGGGAGGGGAGTGGAATGCAAAATGTGAATCGGGAAAGGGTTACCAGGGAAACAAAAACTCAGAATTATGCAATTCGCAAGACGGATCCCTCCCCCCGGTTAAAATGCTCTCCCCTCTGTAAGCCAAGTTGGTCTATCAATTCCAGTGTGAGTGCGGCGCCATCTGCATAGGCAGAACCGAAGGGCTACTGAATAATTCGGTTTCAGAACACATCCCAAACTGGGTTCGACCCATATTTGCTATATCGGTTATCATCATCGCGGCTACCGACAATGGTCGTACATATAAAACACATTGATCTCTTCAACGGACAAACATTTACTGATGGCACCAAATCTATTCGGTCGACAGAAATCAGGTCCAGTAATGTATGGTAACGCTACTGGCAAAATGCTCAGGAACACCAAAGCGAATGCAATCGTTCGATGAAGAGCCTTTCTGTATCCACAAAAAGACTTAATCATCACTCTGGATCTACCTTGTGCACACATCCGCCATTCAACATTATGTTTCTTTTTGCTCTTCACTCCTCAATGTCATATAAGTATTGTATTTTTCTGCAGTATGCACCAGTTGAAATACAACGATATCGTCCAAAACAAATCGTGCAAGGTTGCGATACCGGCTTCCCTTTTGACTTAATGTGTTTGTATTGTCTAACCGCCTCGTTTTGGACCTGCGTTTGTTGTATAATTTAATTTTCTTTGATGCGTAGTGATTTATGTATAGTGCGCGAAATGCTGTTAATCCGACCTCATTAGCCCACAAGATTTCAGTAAGAAAACCATTCAAGTCGATCAAATTCTGTATGATAATGGTGAAACTCATTACCTTATGGGAAAGAAAACGAATTTTGATCATGACTTTACCACACCACTTTGTCCTGGAAAATTTGCCCGTGTATGTGCGAAATGCTAGGAACACCAATATAAGGAATTGATGAAAATATTCAAATGTTTACCAAACACACCGACATTTGTTATTCAGAATTGAAGCGCAACTCTCAGGCATGCTTCCAATCAGGTTCCGGATTGTGTGAAGTTCGAAATTGTTCCACTAACGAAGGATAACTGTTTTTACTTCGATGATGATGATTCGGTGATGATGCGCATGACAACCCCGCCTCATCAATAAACTTTACACATTTCAAATGAAATTCAGCTCCAGCCTATGGGTCGGCCAGTCCATTGTCTAGATGTTTCGATGCAGCAGCTACATTCTAGTGAGATGGGCCCTATGTGTAAAGGTATTATCGTGTCGGAAAATCACGGTTCCCAATCGCTTTGTAGAATCGCGGTGAGAAACTCATTCAAGGTTTTTAACAGGTTGGTGGTGGCCCGGTGGTAACATCACCAAATTATCACCCTGGGGATTTACTCGAATCCCACCACCACTGCCTAACTTTCTTCATTTCGTGTTGAATGGCAGCCCTTTGATTGACCACTCCCCCTTCTGAAAACTGTATCTTTGTATTTTCAATAAAAGGAAATAGAGTGAAAAAGAAAAAGTTGTCTGATTTCCTTAGCGAATTGCCAACTGGGACTATCCATCCGCAAAAACCCCACTTATGACAGTTCCCACCGTAGGCTCGATTACTGAAGGATTGCTTACTCTTACACAAGTTATGCAAGTGGTACATGAGTCCATCATGATAGTCGGAGTTCCTCTTTTCTCGGTGCCGAACATCGTTCCATTCAGAGTTCCAGTTGATGCAACCTCTTACACACGAAACTCGATCACCCGTATGGTGAACTACATTCCGTGGTAATAATTTCTTCAATTTCTGACATTTGCTGTATGCGCCATGCACTCATCCAATTGTAATGGTCAACGGCAAGAGATCGGCCACCTGGTTTGTGCCGTCTCTGCATCGTCACCCTCGTAATCCCGAGTCTGGAAAACCGATTATAGACTGAGATCAACCCCACACATACTGCATGTTTCTCCTTTTTTCAGTTCACGTCTGGCCGGCATCAATAAAGGCTTGCACTGTTTGCAACTGTCCTTTAGCTTGGATCGTGGGGCTTGGTTCACTGATAGTTTTGGCTAGGCACTACACAAGTCATCTAAAATTTTACGAACAACCTTCTGTGATGCATAGGTTTATCCAGTAATCTTGGGAATACTCGTACCCAGCTCTTTGAAAAATGATTATTTTTCATTGTTCCAATTCCCATTGCCTTCAACTGCGTGGCGTTCTTCTCTTTCGACAAATGACTGATGCGTTAATTAAACCACACTGCATGACCTTGGTGATCTTCGTCCACCTACCATGTGTGAAGACTTATGACGTGAGCAACAGTGACCACTTTGCTGATAGCACTCGGGGTTGGGTTCATGATAATTTGCAGACCCGGGGGCAAACTGTGTAGGGTAAATCAGTTTTTCGATAGGTTACGCAATCCCCCTTTGGTTAGTCCATACAGTAATGTAGTACATCACTCTGAACGGATTGGTTACCGAGATCTTGTGGACGAACCGGGTGGAACAAATAATGTTTTGTGCATTATATCATGATTCCCGGATTTGAATCTCAAATGCAATGCGATATATCGAAATCAAAGGATCTATCCTAGTCGTTACGGTAAATACTAAATAATGGCCCTGACTGTCAACTCACTGTTGTGATCAGACTTTAATAACCAATTCTCCACAATATATTCCAATTCTTTTTCGCCTCTCCACTTCGCTATTCATTTTTCCACAATTGGCTTGCGGTTGTGTTGTAGAGGCCTGCTGAGTGCCAAAACTAAGCGGTATTGATTCTTAGCGCTCATGAATATTTATCGCAGATTTTTCATGAGGAGGGTAGAAGAAGATAGAAATTATCTTTCTGATTCAACGCGAAGAGATTGCAATTTCTAGATCTCGTCAAGATGAACTGTTTGTTTGAGATTATTTCACATGTAATCATCCCGTATACACCGTTTTTTCCATCCCGTTCGCAGGTTTGTACTGATCCGCAAGTGAAAAAGTACATCTACGAGTGTGTGGAATCACTACGCACACAACTGTTCCGTGTACGGGAGTTGCGCATTGTCATTAAGGTTGTTACAGATTCGATCCATCAAGACGATTCAGATTGTTTGGAATGCTTAGTTATTCGTTTAGACGGCTTGAATGAAGAGTTTCTAAGGTATGTCTATTGGCAGCGCGTTTTTCTAATTCGCTGTTAAATTTACTGGTGTTTAATGATCCACGTAGTGTGTCTGGGCATCATGTTTCTCGGGAGGAAGGTGGTCACTGTATTGGACAGTTTTAAAACCACTTGTTACTCTAAGGACGAGCAATTATTTCGGTGAAAGTGATAATAATAGTAATGTGACCGAGAATTATTTATCTCGGTTTTCCCCAACTCCATAGTTATCTTTTTCTGAAATAGAACATCTTGTGTGATCAAAAGGATAATGTGTGAATTCTGTAATCGTTTGGCTCGAGCATTCGATTATGGATTCCGACAGCCGAAATAGTGGAACTTGGAAGGCAGAACCGTACAAGATCCTGAGAATTCAGCCTGGTGTTAGGTCGAAAGACAGCGGAGCTGTTTAACCACGGTAATCGATCTCACTGCAGGAATTCCACAGATAAATAATTGTGCCAGGCTTTAGATATTCTAGCAACTTGATTGTCAGAGATTCCTAGAGAGTTTAACACACGAAACTCAGTTTGCTAGACCACAATGCCTTTCGTTATGTAAAATCCCTGCAACGTTTTCCATGTAAATTAATCATATGGAAGATCCATGGGGATCACGACAATCAACCCCAAACCCGATTGGGTGCAAACAAGACTGTTTAAAAGGTAAGAAAATTCCCTTGAATGTATTACAGAAGCTTCAAAATTACTTTATTTCAAATGTTTAGAAGGACACTTCATCACCACCCGGAGCAAAAAGATCAACTTAGTTTTGATCCCACCTTTTTATGACGGTTAATTAGGTAAATAAGCAGCAGTGAATTAAGCAGTACGTTTATTGCAGTAATTACACATGTTACCGATCCGTAGGTCGGCGAGCAAACAGGAGTGGGATGCACGTAGGCAGGCATGCCGACTACTGGCTCAAGCGTCACATGAGATCCGAATGCCGTCAAGTTCGGCAATCAAACAGTCCACGAATCAATCAGCGTTAACAGTCCAATACTAACATCTGATTGACTGGAGCCGATCGATATTGCAATAGGGTTAGTCCGCATGATGTGAATGTGTGCCTGCGTAGTAGCAGGCAGCCTCGGTCAATCACTGAAGCAAATCATAAGCATGTAAGTACCACGTTGCAGTCAACTATAGGTCATAACAATACCGATGACCTTCGATCCATTTAGCATGATTGGTCGTCAGCGCTGTTCAGCTACAGAGAGACATAAAAGGATTCCGATTGTGCCTGGTACGTGGGGCTATTAGAGCGTCGCTCTCTTCCCTCTCCTCGATTGGGTTTCACGTAAGGTCATGTGTCCAAACAATCCCGGAATCCCTTTAGCTCATCAAACGGTTTCTTTCCTTCTTCATCCCCCTTGGTTTGGTTTCGACTGAAATCTACCTCTTCTGTCTCTTATACATTTGCTCTTTGCTGTGGAGTCCGTGGAATAGTGATTTATCCCTTTTGCCAAATGACTGGTTCCAGACACCGGGCTTCCTCCTAGATTCCGATGGTCAGTTTTGGTCTTAACAACTGAAAAATTATAGAACGACTGTTCTAATTTATGGTTTCTTCATCTTTAAACACAGGGTAAACAAGCGGGGTCTAACTTAAATACCCATCCCATGTTCAGTCTGTCCGTGAACAATAGGGTCTACCTCCTTTTATTGAATTATGTGCTCAATAAATTAAGGGAGTATTTCTAGTTTCAGTTTTTACAAACATTAACCATGTACTTTCGTGCCCCGGTATTTCTGGTAAGATGTCAGTGGTGCTTCGTAATGCATTGGTCACATTACCCCAACGGTTTTCGAGTGACACGCACGCGCGCACTCTCTCTGTCTCTTTCTCTCTAAGCCTGATATTAGATCTGGTTGGATCTCATCAGTAGCGGGAATCCGTCGACCCATCTCTGGAGCACACCCGGGAACTCACAAGTAGAACGCATACTACCTACTTGACCACCGGGTAATGGATCAGACCGTTTTTCATTTTACCTATACACGATAGAACACAACCTATCTTTGTGCACTTGATTTGAGCATCGCACCTCGCGAATCTCAGCAATAGCAAACGTGATTATATCAAATACTACACAAATCTTCCATATTAATATCAAGTTACATATGGATCGCACTGCCCTTCATACTATGATATGCCATATGAAGACATCTCCGGAGAGTTCCCCCTCTGATAGCCGCTCGAGGAATCTTTTGGGTGTGTTAAAACTGGTTTAATTTTGGTACGTGCTTTAAAGAAACTTGAGTGTAACGACGCCGGCAGGTTCATTTATTTTGTTGTTTAGCAGCAACTAGTTGCCTTGAGGCCTGTATCCTGTCCGTGTATTTGTCGTTGTTGAGCTGTTCTGCCCTTAATTTACGTTGGTTAATCTGTATGAGTTTGTGAATAAGCTTCATGAATTTTCCATGTGTGAATTAAAGAATTTCTATGATCTTCATTTTTACAACATACACGCGAGTGCACGCTCGCTCGCATCCACTCACACAAACACCAAGAAATCAAACGTTCATTTCATTCTTGATGATCATTTGTCTGACTTCATATTCACGCTCCAATCTCAGTTCATTCGGTCAGCAATCCACTCGAGAAACACCAGGCTCGATGGTTTCTTTCATTAGAGCTCATCAGTGGTGCTTGTCCATTATTCCGTCCCGGGGATTGCACTTTGAACCGGTAACTGAAAAGGCTTGTTTGGTACCTACAGGAATGACCGAACAAAATTAATTAAAATACCGTTTTTACTGGTAAATGATATGTTTTAAACTTGAAAGTTACAAATGGAGAATTCTCATGGAGTGACACAGTATTACAGTGCTTTCTCTGTGTACACTTGACTGAGTTGATGGAGAATTGTGCTCCAAATTGGAAGAGCAGTCGATCAAAATTAATATCGTTTACCTCACGGGGCAGTTGGTTGTGAGTTTGTGTTTAGTTTATCTTAGTCAGCAGAGGTTTATACTGCAAGTGGTTAATTATTAGGTTCAGGTGTTTCTGTTGCCTTGTTTTCGTTTTAATGTCAATTACTCGTTAAGTAATGACTCTGCACTTGCATGTGAATAAATATTACAAACCTAACTGAGCAGCTAATGGCCACTGCTGACGCTCACGGAATACACGTGTTTCTAGGTAACCAATTACTACACGTTAAAATTCTATACCCCCAAAGACAGCATATCTAAGCTTTGCAGTCCCTGGTAGAGTTCAGTCGGAAATTATACTGAAAGTTGATCGGGATAGCTGAACACAGCGTTTTGATTGTAGATTTTTGTATATATGATAAATCGAGTGTACCAGTTTCAAACTGTTTCACAGTTGTCTTTTGACGTAAGATACTGACTTTTAAAAACTGATCTGAAAAATAGTCCGGATCCTGACTGGATGATCAAAAGAGTCGCTTTTCTGTTAGGGACAAGCACAACTTGTATGGATGTGAGTGAAACCAATTTTTACTTCTTTACCCTTTAGTTTTTTCGTCATCTGACCAGTGTCTTAACATTTTCACTGTTTCAGATGGGATCGATTGGCCACCGCATTCCAGGAGGATTGTGCCGCTGCGTTATTACGACTGAACATGTTGGAATGTATCTATCCCCCGGTTGATTTTGGTAAGTTACACTCATTTACCCAAAATTTCGGCCTGTTACAACTTCTCCTGTTCAGTGGTCGTGGACCAGTACGGAGAAGATATAATGGAGTCCATCATTGATTAAGTGGTAGTTGACGGAGACTCATGTCAGAATACTGAGCTAGCACCAACGTGGTTTCCGGCCGCGTTGTTCTAATGGTGACCTTTGTCTAGTATTTCTGGTCGGCTACACTTGATAGCCACGGGGAGCAGGCCTGATCTCACTCGATCTTTCAAAAGCTTTTGACTGTCAATTTTTGGGTTTCATCTATCTCCTCGTATCGTGGAGATTTAGATCTCACTGTGAGCGAAACATCTTCCTCCGAGTTTACGGAATTATATCTCGGTTGCTACCTGGAAATAATGCCGTCTCGCGAGGTTGAATATCTGCGCCTGCTGTGTTTCTTCTATTTAGTAACGCTATTCTACTCGATACTTCCAAATCAATCCACTCTTATGGCAGTGGTACTATCTTCCATTGCTCTCTCTCTCTCTCTTATGACACTCTTTGTCAAGCCAGTGCAGTTCAATTTATACAACCATTAACCATGCACTTTAGTGAGGCCGTTTTGGTTGCTGTCTTTCGGCTACCCTTTTGCATGAGGGAATAGAACGAAGAGTGGAATGTTGGAAGCAGCGTTTATGTACCAAATAGATAATTCAGAAGCCTCAACATCCATCGTGACCATAGTGTATCACTTTCATTTATTTCTTCCAAAACCTCTGTCTCTGAAATTCCATTAATTGTACCCACAAGCATCTTTTGATTCTACCCAACTGCGTTCCGCAAAATGTTTCTCTTCTTGGTTTGTCCATAACTTTTGCATCACGCTGATCCCATGTTCTATCTCAGTTTTTTTCTCGCGCTGGCCACAAGGTAGTTTTTATCATTGTGCGCCGGAAGCTTCTTCAGCTCAGCTCATTTTCTGCTACACAATGTTCGAATCCGACTGACACTTGAATACTGCTGTCATGTGGTGAGTGGGACCTGGCATTTTGAATTTTCTCTTCTTGATTGTGTTTATCAACGCAATGAGTGCTGTTCTTAGATGTGGTTTGACCTCAGAAAAGTCACTGCCAGAATATTTAAGGCCTGAACACGATGTACTGCGGCTGCCCAAGTTAATCGGATATCTTCAATATGTTCCCTTTGCTCCGGACCTAAATCTCGTCAGCTTGATAGAGGTCCGGAATGCTTTATGGAATCTAAAAGCCATAAACAGCTGCGGTCCTGAGTTGATCTGTCCGGAATCAATAAAAGTAGTTCCAATAGCCTGCAGAACTTGCTGTTCAAATACTCGATTCAGGCGTGTCTGCTGGAAGAGTTGCCAACTGCTCGAAATCAACCAAGATCAAACCCATCATCAAGAATTATGTCCTCCAAGATATATTCAATTCCTTTACTGCCATACTTTAGAATCTCTTCGAAAGTATACTTCCACGTCGCATATCCTTTCTGTTGAACTCCGCCAATATGAATGCAGAACCTCTCTTTCCAACTTTCGAGCTGTTGCGTATTGTCACACACGCTATTGCCCACATCTTTGGCCAAGGAAATGAAACTGTTAGACAAACTGAATCTGTAGATCGAATAAGATTTCCTTATGTTCGACATAACTGTGAGGATGCACACTGTGATTTATTACACATTTCACATGAATATTTCTCCGTGCGGACAAATTTTACTCTCTGGGACTCCGAGCACTCTTCTTCACTTCAAATCACCTGTTTTTTCAAGCACTCTTCCGTCCTTTGTTTCTCGTTATGCATTAAAGACTTACCGACCACCAACGAATTCATTGGTTGCAAGTGCGACAAAAACACTGAAGTTGGGTTTCCTTACTCCAATGCCACCCGTTTTCGTGATCTGTTAGACCGACAATTCCAGCTGTTTCACATCTTGCTCGCTCAAAGTAAATGGTTTCAAATGCGTTGTCTTATATGATTCACTTGTTACTTCACGTTCTTCGACGGGTTACCATCCCTAGCCGTTTGCATTTACCTCACCACTGCAGGATACTTCGACATTGCCCATTCATTCATGGTATCATCTCCCATCCATAAATCATGTGTTAAAGTCCCTAAACTAGCTTTCTATGCACTCAGATTACAGGAACTTGGTGCTCCCCATTTGTATTCCGCTCCCATTCAGTTACTACTCCTCATGATTTTTTTCCTGGCCCAAATCTAACGATTTCACCTTTATTCTAGGTCTCACAAGGTTCTATCCACAAATAGTGGAGTACCGCACATTTCCCTTGTTAACTTTATGACAAACAAAACACTCTGATACAGGCAACCAGTTTTTCAAGACTATTGTATAAAGTCGAGCATGGTGTACATGGAAAGCTTATTTAGACCATATCCACTCGTAACATCCAACATCAATTGAAGCTTTTTCCTCCACAAACATCCACTTAGAGGAATTTGCACTATTCCTCACGCACTTTAGTAAATCTTTTACCCATCTTCAATAAAATAAAGTGATTTCAATCACAGTAATCTGACATGCAACATATCTGTCTAGCTACTGTCCTGCTGCTATTCAAGTTTTAGACCCGCATTCTTTTCCCCTGCATTACGTTGCTTGAACCGTGTTGAGCAATCACCCGTATTAGGACTTGAAGCATGTTTTGATTCAATTCAACTGAGAACTATTTGCTGACCAACGGCCTTTCTTTAACCTCTAGTCCCTAATCTGCCTGCAGGCAGTTGCTTTGCTGTATCCAGGGGAAGTGGGACCTACCAAGGAGGAGTTACATTGCATGAGCAGGAGATAGATCATCTCGTATGCAGTTGGTTTGGATCTGCCCAAAAATGGAAACATTGTAAAGTATGGCTGCATTTGTGTATGATGCAGGATTGGCTGACTCCTTCCTAATTTAGACATTCAAAAGTTTACTACTGATAAATTTCGGGTAATATAAATATAAAATCCATAAGAACGAGACCTAAAACGATCAGCATGGATCCAATATCAAAAAGCCATGCACCATGAACGATTCATTTGCAGTTCTTTTTGTTCAACTTAACAAAAGTTTTTAAGATCCTGTCAGATAAGCCGATAAAGTATTGAAAATTGTTCCTCGTTGCTGGGGTGAACTGAATTCCAGTTCGCCGAGCTGGCAATTGGTTTGCAAACGTTTCATCACCAACCGAGGTGACATCATCAGTGCACTGATGATGTTACCTCTGTTAACAAATTTCCAAGCTCAGCTAACAGGCGAAATAGAATAAACCGGTAAGTAAAGTGAAGTTTACTTCAGTGGAGCATAAACCGAAAGGCAACCTGATGTAATGAAATATCAAGCATTTATTCGAAGTTAATGGCAATAGAGTAAATGTAACGATATCGATACTCCAAATTGAAAGTTCATTCGTTCGCTGATAAGTGAAGTATCTTTTTTCGCTACTGTATTTCTTTTTACCGCAAACAGAAACCACATGGGAACTACGGGCACGTCTAGCTTCAGAGGATTTCAATCTGAGTCACGTGAGTCAAAACTTATAATTTCAATCGCTCTTTGTGAAGAACGATTTTTCGAGATTCCGGCTGTTTCGAATATCCGAATGCCTATCGCTTTAACCAATTGAACTGCCGAATAAATGAAGCTTCATTTTCTATATTATACAAGCAATAAGTAGGTCAGAATGACGCCAAAAAATTTCCCTGGAAGTACACGACCGGTTTCTGGGCTGTTTCCATTTGTCGGATGTTCATATCCCGTAGTCTTCCATCAACGTTTTTTTGTTGAATTGTACCGTAAAACTAACCATTGTTTTACCTTGCAGTGCACACCTATGGCTTGGTATGCCAGTGATAAAGAACTCACGCCACAAGTTGGGGAAACTGAAATATTTCCCATCATATCGATTGACAATGAAAACCTCCAAGTATGTTCGTCAGGCTGTTCGGACGTTCTATAATGTTTTGCATTCTGTAGATGCAGTTGCTGTTTGAGCATAAAATACGACCCGCGGCGTCAGATTCCACATAAAAAATCGAGAAATCAACTGGTTGTTTTGTATTCTCCTTACGAATGATGGACTCCACTTTTTATTTTCCGTTGGTTTTTGTTTGAGTTTTTTTTAAACAAATTAAAAACCTCGTTTGTTTTTTCAATCTTTTTATTCTTTTAATTACAAAACGTTGCACATATTTTTTGACCTTGTAAAACTGGAGGTCACTCCATTTTCGATTAGGTGAATCTGTAGCACATCCACACGTGCAAATGTCGCTGACGGAACAGAAGCAAAAGTTGGATGCTGCATCATGGTATAAGTCAAGGGCTGATTGTTGTAATTTCTCTTGGTCGAAGTACATCGTTGTGCCATTTTGTGGCACTTGGATTAATTGCTATTGTAGTACATTCACCTCGTTAATGCTTCTTCACTCTGGGCTTTGCTCCCCAGGAGTGGATAGCCAATCCAACGCCAAAGGCAGTGTTTACTATGACCACAGGTTGAAACGAAATTACCAGAAATGTGCATAGCTTTGGACTTGCCTCGAAAAATGCAAAACGGTGTTTGGAAAAGAGAGGTGATTGTTTAGAGTATAGATACATGAGGTATCTGAAATCAATGCCACTAAACTGATAAGTGCTCTCTTGAAATCAGAATTATTTGGTACTGGAAAGACAATGTATATTTATGCTAGTAAGCACATTTTATTCCAGGTATTCTATTCATTACTTTTCGACATCTTCCATCAGTCCGTAAACTATTTGATTTTCGATCAAACCTATGCCCCCGTGGGATCACGATTCGGTAGACTTTGGACATTCTGTAAACAGGTTCGGTTGATTTTGGCTTGTTCGCTGTTATCGACTGTACCATGAGAACAAGCAAAGGGGGTAGAATTGCTTGATGGTTATGATAACAATTGCTAACTAAGCACTGTGCTTGGATCTTCTGTGTAGATGCGGTCTATTTTGTTTAAGACTTTGGTAATTTTCCCACGTTTTAAAGCATTCAGAAACAAGATATTGGTTCTCACTTTTAAGATAATATCGAATTCAAAGAAACTTATCTCCGGTTGTTTTTGCAATCAACAAGTTGATTTCATGTAACGTGTTGTCCTTCACCTCGTTATTTATCTAGACACAGGCATAAATATGTAAATGCCTTGATTGGTCGCTTCTCGTTTTCTGGCAATTGAACATCTCACTGTGCATTCTAAGGAATGGATTAAAACACTATATAATCATGCCCTTCTGTTCGGCTGTTCATTACACTGCGTTGTGTAGCAAGAAGCGCGTGGTGAGCATCACAGTATCGACCTAGAGAATTCTGCCTCGATGGTTGGAACATTTTCTATCCTACCGATGATTAGAACCAATTGATTTTGAAAACTGACAGTTTAAATGAAACATCTTATCCGCCCATCAAAATACGTACGGATGATTGAACACGACTGCTCCAGAGATGTGGAAAAACTTACTCGGATGCCTTCGGTTATTTATTTGGTTCAATCTGGCTTTAAACACTGAATTCTTAGTCTGTCTCCTATTTGCCACTGGTTCTAGATCATTTCGCGTAATGAGGTATTCTTCCATCCAGCTTCATTTAAATTTCAACGTTCATGTGTTTTACTGCTGATAGATTTAAATTCAATAAGTTTCGTTACAAAATGAAAAGATGAAGTTTTTCAACACAAATTAACTGCTAATACCCATCATGGCCCGTTCCTCATAACCTGCTCTGTCTATTCCTGTCACGAAAAAGCACTGGTATCACCGGAAGTCTAATTACGCTCGCTGTTTTCAGCAGACGGCAAGCAATAAGAAAGCCTACTTGTTGAAGGAAAAGGCTTAAAGTGGTGCAAAAAATCAATTGTGTATCATAAAGTAGAATAAACTGAATCCCGACAGTAAGCTATCGAAACTTTACGGATAGCTGACTGTACATCATGTCCAGTATGGTTCGTTCAAGACACGCGTGCATAATGTTTTCCGAGCACGATCCGGTCAGTTAGTCACATTCTATCGTCAGCACAGTGGACGAGTTCCCCGTCTGAACTGATCGTATGGCCATTTGAAATTTTCCAAATCCCACACAAGCTGCTCCGTATTGTCCCGTTTTGTTCATCGCAACCAAGGCTCCACTCCATACTCCTTCCTGCAAACAGAACAGAGTTATCACAATATGAATACAGTACATTTGAAAAATAAACAATAATAATAATGATATTGCCTTCCTTGTCCATCACCAAGAAATTCTGCTTCCCATTCAAAATCTAACAGCGTGTGCTTAATGTTTCACAACTCATCTCGAAATAGATGACCTTCTTTTATGTGTCATGCTTTTTCATATTCGGATCAATCAAAATTGGTTTCGGAGTTTAGTAAACAGTATACTTCGCCATTAAAATCAGCTTTTAGTCAGAAATCGATCAGTTTCTTGCGGATTCACTATCCTTATCTAAACGGTGAACACAAATAAACTTCGGAACTTTGCAGAGCTAAACTCGATGAGAGTGAGATCGCTCAGTGAATCACAATTCTCATGCATTTGGTGACAACCGTAACAAATCGTCCCTAAATATTTGGCAAACTTTTTATAGCTCGATCCGAATGGGGTCTTACCTGTTTAACTGATTTGAGGCTTAACTTGCAAGCCTCCTCAGGACTCGTTCCTTGTCGCATGTAAAACACGGTTTGAAAACTGAGTGCGAACCGCATCAGTACATCGCCATCTCCGGTTCCAACCGCACCACCGATCTGTAGGGAGCACACGAATGGAACATTAATGAGCGAGGTCATTCATAGTCTGTACATATTATTTCTGTCGTTAGACCGCAATTGTGGTCCGTATGGACCACATACCTTAGGGTATGCATCAAGTATAACATCATGTTATCTTCCTTGGTAGGAATTGGGTTTGAGAGGTATTAAACCGATCAACTATTTACAAGCTGTTGACCATAAATCGGTAATATACTGCATGTTTGAGTGTATGCATATAAGACTGTGGTGATCCTAGCTTACGGGATAAAATAAGCTACAGAACGATGTGTTACAGTTTCTGGGAAACTGGTGTGTCAGCCTTCCCAGAGGACGCCAGTCAAGCGCCTACCAGTTTCAGGTTCTGGACAGTGAAACAGGCCGATTTTGTTTACCCATCAGAAGTCGTGCGGTCCAACCAGAAGCTGTATAACGTCAAGCGTACAGACACGCGATTGATGGATACTTGGATAACCAATAAAATTCCTTTGTACATGCTATTTAATCCCATTGATTTCTTTCAATAAAACGAACTGCTACTTTTGTGGCCCTTTCCTTGCGTCTCGGTTGCGTGAGATACCGGCGTGCAAGTGCTACTGCGATTCAGTGCTTCCGTTGCGTCCATAATTCGTGATCTGTGTCTACTTAAACTACTACAAAGACCTTAAATGAATTCAAACATGGGCAGCGTAACCTAAGCACTGGTTCGTAAACAGCATTTGAAGGGCTTTGAATGTTCATAATTGAAACCCCTCTGGCAGAATAGCCCAAGCTTGATCAAAATCATGAGTGAAAACACCCTAAGAAATTTTCAAAAAGAATCAAAGTTGATTTTCATCAGTCAGAACAATTTAAAAACTATGCTTATAAGATCAGCATTCTTGAACAAACTGGTGTTAAATGCATTATTAAGTAAAATGAAAGCACAAGATTCCCTGGTGTTGTGCGGGTGATAATTTATGCGTTAGCAAAGGGCCCACCTCAGAATCCACATAACCTCCTGATCCCGGGATAGGAGTGTCTCCCACACGACCGGGTATTTTGTGTATCGCTCCACTAGTAGACAATCCCACCGCCATCGAACCGTGCGCATCCATGGCGATCATTCCGATTGTGTCATGCTGTTGCTCGTTCACGGTCCCTTTCGGACGATTAGCGGTCTTTTGAAATGCTAAGTGAATCGAAGAGACAAGCAATCGAATTATGCCTGAATAAATGTATAGGAACACCGTTTATCTTAGATTTATTTCTACATCTTCGTTAACCGTACACATGTTTTTTACAGTTGTAGTGTATTATGAAGAAGTTGATTCCACTTGTTCTTGGTTCAGCTCAAGCGAATTCATAAACAACGGGTTTGTGTACCGATTTTGGGTTTTGAATTCAGCTCAATAGGCTTCGTTGGTTAAGACGCGTTTTTCGTATGTCTAACGGTCGCTTACCTCATCGCTTCGTACTGCAGAACACCACATGGAGGTCAGTAGATGGTGTGAAAATGAAGTGATTCGGTAGAGTAAATGTTTCCCGTCTTCCGGGGTCCAAAATACTCAGTAACTGCATAGTAAGAGACAGTTAAGCAAATGGCAGCGAACCGGCAGCAGTGGAGTTGTTGTCACTACATATCAGACCAGAATGCCTGAAATAGTATGTATGCTCCATTGAACAGTGTACTCTGTGTTGACTGTAGAGATTTACTTTCTTTCCCCATCCTTGTCCAGTTTCCATATTCTCACTTACCTTGTATGCATTGGGCTTTGGCAGCGATCATTGAAGTACGCTTCGTTGCGTTCCTCTGAACTATGATGATTTGGGTCTTGCCGTTCTTGGACGGTTGGTAATTCTCCACTCACTTTGCACATTTTCTTTTACCGGCAAAGAGCACTGGGATTGCTGTTTTGCTCTTGATCGTAATGATCAGCAGTGCGTACCGCTATTTCATCCCAGCTAACTTTTGTGTCAGTACTGAAACCCTTACGCCTGAGCGTACACTCAGTATTATCGGGTAGCCAAGGCCAAGAGTAGTTGCCTGAGATACCTAGGTGTTATGTGAAGAGTTAACACGGATGCCCCAAATGTTGCCGGTTATATATCAGAACGGCATGTGCATATACTGAATGGCAAAGCGCTGTGATGTTAAAAGACCGTCTTTCTATCAAGTTAGAGCCACTTGTACACGATCTTGCCATTTGTCAGTAATGAAGCAGCGATTGCAAACAACCACACATCGTCACTTATATGCCATTGACTGGATAGGAATAACAGTGTCAGCGACAGGCAGACTAAATTCATTTTGAATTAGGCGCGTGGTTTTACATTGGGTGTTTGTGGTTAAATGTGTTCCAGAATTGTAGCTAGAGAATTTGCTAAGGTTAAATGGTGTGAGTGGTAACTGTTCGAATGAAATGGAGATCTGTTAACCCGGAACCCAAAGCTCGGATATCATATCAGAATGGCATGAAGTTAATCGAAGTAGTACCATTTAGCATGACTCTAATGAATGTCGATGTGATGCACGTGTTCGTCTTGGTCTAAGACCATCGAAAACCGTTAGCTGTGGAACGTAATCCCTGGTTCTAACCATGTAGACTTACATTAAGCGCATCTTAACACGGGATCAAAAACTGCAAGCGCGGGAGACACTGTGATTCAAAAGCCGCAGGTACCGGTAAAGCCATGTTCTGAATTGATTGTACAATGGGTTCAATCTGGACGTCATTTTATGTACACCAATCTACAGACATCATTGTGTTTACATACATTCACACCTACTAATCACTGATCCTGCAATCGACAGTACTGCTTATTAGTTAAGCTCGCCTCACAGTATCTGTGTCACAGTAAAGAAACCGCTCTAGTAAGCTCTAAGCAAAGTAAGTGATAATTTAAGTGAGCATAACTGCATAACTGTATGCATGCGAGTGTACGTTAATAACATCGTCTACTCGTTATCGATCACAACGACAAATGGAAATTCAGGAAACCTGTCTATTATCAAGCATGCGTGTTTTGTACTATCTAGTTCAATACTGCTAAAGAACTGGGTGTTTCGATTGCTCCAGAAGCACGGCCTTTTGATGCCTTACAATGCTGATCTCGTTATATGAGCCCCGTAGAAAAATTTATTCATCGTTCAGGGAAGGAGCGGATAAATTTGTAACAATGGCTTGGCCAGTTTGCGGGGCTCGAATGGTGTTCACATTATGCCACACGGCAAGCAGTTTCGTTGTTGCTACTGGTCAATTGTCATAGATGCTCTCAACCTAAAACCTTTTATTGTCGATCTTTTGGGAAGAATTGCCACAGGTAGTAAATAAATACAAAATATAGACAACTAGCACCACCACTAAACACAAATCGTATTTTAACTTATAATTACTGAAACTTGGATGTAAAATAGCCAGTTTTATGGAATTGCCTAATGGGATGAATGCAAGACCGGTGCTACACACAATTCACATGTATTGATGATAAAGTATATCATGAAACCCATTTTATGGAACTCCTGAACTAATATTGGTCCAAATCAAGTGTCCCTTAGATAAAACTCACCAGTATGAAATGCTCTTACGTGTCCTCGTCTGCGGTGTAATCAGCACTCAATAAACCAAGGAGAAAATGAGAGCTAACCCCTAGCACCGATGAAGCGTACCTGTCCACTTTGGTCCATACGGACCACATTGTGCGCTCGGATCGGGTATCCACGATGATGGTTCTCGATAGTTGGGCTGACATTTGTTTGCCTTCCATTTCCTCCACAGTTCTTTTGATTCCGGTGTATCTAGTGATTCTGGTGTATATCCTCTTGTTATTGCAAATTTAGCTGCTTGGTGGCCTGCAAGTAATGTGTGCTTAGTTGTATACAGCACTTCACGGGCCACTTGAGCTGCATGTCGAATGTAAGGCATGGCAGCAACTGCACCTACCTGGATGAATAGAAAAGAGCCCAGTTCTACAGATTCAGGTGAAGCGTGCACGTTAATGCAAAGGAAATTTATAGATTGGAGTTACTCATCTCAAGGGAAATAATCCGAATAATCCGGTCATCCGAAAATTCACGCATAGTGATGCAATACCGCTTGGTTGCCCAGGCCAAGACAGCTGATCGCTTTTGGGGAATTCACGACCGAATAATTCTGCTTAATAAGAGTCGGGTAACAACGGACCTGTTAGATTTCACTAAATCTTCAATAACTGGTGTGCGTTCCGTATGAGATTTACCGCAATTCTAGATCACTGGAAGCTATTCTTTAGTTTTTCGAGAGTATACAAAACTGTGGCAACTCCCGGAGATAAGCATAGAAGTGTTCATATATTGGGTGAACTAAGGTGACCTGAAATATACATTTACACTTTCCTTCATTTGCCACATTCATTCGCAAAATTCACTCTTTTTGAATACAACATATAACGTTATGATTTAAACCCCCTACAATGTACTGTTCCTTCATCGTTAGCTCTGTTTGGAATGACTAAACTGACCTAGGTTCATATTGTAACCCGTCATTATTCTCCCCGATAGTTATTCGGCAAGGTCTTGTCACACAGAGTTTACTGTTTCGTTCTTTGGAACAAGTAGTTCGTTCAAACTGGTTTCCTTCAAAGGGAGAACCCTAATGTGCTCATCAGCATAGACTGAAAGTTAGAGATTGGTGTGTTGTCTTTCTAAAGCACGCGTTCCTTAGCCTCTGGAAAATGGTTTTATTAGCGTCTTTTCAGAGTCCTCCAAACGGCAGTTTCTGGCTAAGCTGACTTTGGTATTGCTTTGAGCACAAGGGAGAATGACTCGACTACTGGACTGGATCCCAGTTGATGACTCATGGGCCGTTGGATTTATACGTCCATGTAAAGTTAACAGTCAGAAATACAATAAGCGATACTTATTGGGGGCTTATGAATACTTTCCAACAGACTGTACTCCGAGTGTAGTCCCGGATAGTTTCTTCCGTTATCACCATGAGCGTCCTCTCACAAAGTGAAATCATTCCAAGAGAGGGTCTATCAGAGCTAAGCGTAGGAAAATTAAGTCCCGCAAAGCGACTAGGCCAAGAAATGCTATGATTATACTTCTGCAAGTAAATGAATATTGAATAAAAGTCACCCAGTGTCCAGCACTACCTTGGGAGCATATGCACAACCGCAGGCGAGAATAGATTTCAGGAATAGGATGTAGGAGGTTGTCCATATGCGAATGGTTAATAGACCAGTCTACGTAGACACAGGAGAATTAGTGGTATATTAGGAATTCCAAAGAGAGGTCAACAAGACAAGACCAAGTGCGTCTGAAGCACATGATAGATGGATGGATAGATAGATAGAAAAAAAATCGGGTGGCACTCGGACAGGAAGTGATTACGGATGTGAAAGAGGCATGGGTTGGATCACATTATGCGTCCATCAGTCACAAAATAAACATTGGTATGTTCGATGATTGACATCGCTCGGAATGTTTTGACTGAACTATTCGCTGGAATTATTGATGGTTTCGCTTTAAGAATATCCCTCTGTGGTGATCTTAACCTACGGGGTAACACCAGCTAAACGCCTGAGCGTTACAGTTTCTGGACAACGAACCACGATCGTGTCGACCACTCAGAAGTCGTGCAGGCGGATGTTGGCAATGTATGCCCTCTCCCTTATTGCCACTCAAGGCCACATTCGTTTCAAAAAATTATGGTAACTTGTTTCTATCATAATAACTCAGAACCAAGATTTCCTGTCTACTTATAAAAAGGTTGATTTTGGTAGTTTTTGTTTTAATTTGTGACCTTGACACGGTAGCGGGCCGTTCCAACCTGCACGATTTACTAGCGCAGATCGAATGCTTAGCATGTATTGATTATCCACAGGACTGAGGACTACTTTCACGTCCAGGGTTCCGTAAGTTAAATGATTTGGGATCATCTTCATAAGGCCCAATACAGATTATGGTTCAATTTTTCATACGAGACATTTCCAGATGACATTTTAACTTTCTAGGCACACATTAAAAAGAGTTATCCCTGTTATTTTCAATTTTTTTCACCATTTTTTGTCAGTTCTATCCTTTTATGAGTTTTGCGTTTTTATTGCCTTTTATTGCTATTATCAGATTTTTAATTAGGTGACTTGAGTCCTTTTCTTATATACTACTTATGATTTAAAATTGCATAAATTCCTTAGAGGGGCATACACCGTACACGCCCGCCGTCGTGCAGTCCAGGCAAAAGTTGTACGACGTGAAGAATAAAAGGAGGCGATTGGTGAATAGCTGTATAACTAATAAACTTCCTGGGTACATCTTACTTCATCTCGTTGATTTCTTTCAATACACGAACTGCTATTTCTGTGGCCTTTTTCTAGCGTCTCGATGACGGGAGAAACCAGCATGCAAGTGCTAGTATGATTCAGCGCTACAGTTGCGTCCGTGATTTGTGATTCGTGGTCTGTGCATATTTCGACTACTACACCCTCTCTTCACTATAATAGAAAGATAATAGAATATGCTTTTCTTTGGGGGTATATCGATGTCAAGATGTAGGTTTCACTGTATCGTCTTTTTTTAAATGAAACTGGTCATTCCGAGTTAAAAAATTTGATTGAACAGTTTATATGATTTGTGGTGATGAGGTTATTTGGAACTGTTACCAATCTACTAAAGGGAGTCAATTTTTGTTTCCTTTGATCGATGAAAATTGAAAAGATTGTTTGAAACATCCTCTGTCATGATATGTTCTTTTCGGGAAATGCTACTGGGAAAAAGGCCCAAGTTACTATTTGACGGTTCCGGAGATCTTGGAGATTTTGGTTTTCCCAATCTTAATTTGTATTTGTATTATCTGATTTTAGACATTTGATAGCACCATATGGATGTTCAAATAAACTTTAGCAGCCTCGGTTGGATTCGAAACCACGCATAGACGCCGCCCACGCTTTTGTACATCATACCCTCTTCCAGTTGAGCTACGAGGACACACCAACATACAGTGGCATACGGAATCCACCATGTTGCATGTAAGCTGACTGCCACGAGAGGTTTTCTGTAGAATCCACCGAAAGATTCAGTACAATACTTAAATTGGCCAAAGAACAGTGTAAATAAAGATTTGTAGCGCCAGTGATCAAGTTATTTTAAGCAATCAGTTCGTTGGAAGTTGTATTGTGACATCGAGACATCATTAAATTGTCTTATCTTTGTCTTATGATGGAGTGCGTATTCTGGTTCAAAGCAAACCACGCCCAAACTGTTATTGCAGCCTCGGATTGTACAATTTTTGTTTTTTCTTTGGTAAACAGCAAACATGGTGGCCATTTAGCAAAAGATTAAACCCAAACGGAAAAGGCAATGGTTCTTTCCCCTCCTCGTTTTGACGAGCATCCTAGTAAGTGGTCCCGAGTACCTAAGGTAACTGTGTTTCAAGCATGACAAACGGAAAGAACTTCGTCAAAATCTGTTCCTTCAGGAAAACCCCGACATCCAAAGAGTGGCATCTATCACAGTAGTGATTGATTTACTTTTCCCTTCCATGAACTTGTTGTACACATGAGTGCTCAGTCAGCTGTGAATGAGTCGATCGATGATACTTTTTAAATTACAATAACCTATTCTTTTCAATGTAAAAATCGCACAGAAATGTATCCATACTTCATAATTAAGCTTCATACAAAAGTCAGCATGTGCACTTCATTTAAATCGGCAATTGACAAGCCCTGAGGTAGCTAATTACTCAATACGGTTATCGCTAAGTGAATATACCTCCTAGACACCTCATAGTGATTACTAAATGTTTTTGTTATCCTCTCCTCTGTTGAAATTTCACGAACATAACATGAATGGCGGATGCAACCGATTTTAATTATATTGGTGCATTCTATGAAACATGTGATCGACAATACACAGATTATGCATTCATCAGTAGAAGTGAACCTGAACTGGAAGATTTATTAGCTAACACAAAAACTCTCCTTATTATTATTATTATCGCCCTTTTGATCATACTCTGAACCTGAAGGCTTTTTTCTTAGGTATCACTTTCTTCTATACATGATAATCAGCGTTTGAAGAAATAGAGATGCAATGTGAATATCGAACTCGAAAAGAAATAAGTAGACAAGCATCTTCGGCCAGTATCACGTTCAATTTACGATTACTTTCTGACTGTCTTGTACACAGGCTATTCATGTGATGATATACACTAATTCCGGTTAATTACTGTTAAAACTCGTGTAAGTGCCCACCTATCTGTTCTAAATTAGCTCTGTTTGGGAGATTCAGTTTTAGATTTTCAAGCTTATGAGTGACTGACAGGTATTTGGATTCGGTAGTATTAGACAATAATAACTAGCGTCTCCGCTCCGGGAATACATGGGCTTATTGAAAAGAAGTAAACCATTTCAAAAGCCTCTATTACGATTTGATCAGGTGGTTGTACCATAGCTATCCTAATCGGGAGCGAAAGGAAAAAGCACGAGTGCGGAGATGTTGATATTGATGACTGTCAGAAAACGGTGAAATTCAGAGCGTAAATTGTCGTTGAATGAAGATCGCCAGTAACAAAACAGTTGAAACATCATCCAAACCCGTGCGTTTCATCATCAAAAGACCGTCTACGTATCAAATTAAAGCGACGATGTGGATGTGACTCTACAACGGCCAATTAAACCCGTCTTTCGCAGCAAAGGAAAACTGTTGGTCGGTGTTTTGTGTGTGTAGATTTTACCTCAGGTTTCAGGTAGGAAGAACTCCAGAACGTCAAACATTTTCATTCGTGTTAAACAAGAAAAATACTCGTGCATTCGTCTCGAAATGCAAGAAATTTGCTGTTGTGCGCTTTGGTTATTAACAACCCTTGTCACTGCGAACAGTCGGCGGATCTTTGAAACACTGCATCCACCAAGCTTTTAGGCTATATATGAAACTAAGATAAACACAACCTGATGTGTGTGCACGAGGTTGGATTTCCAGTAAAAGGTTTTGTGTCTCCGGCATGAATCAACCAAATTGGGCATCAATTAGGCGGTGGCAAGTGAATATCTACGCTGCATTTTCATAGTCACTCAAATATCCGTGACAAACTCCGCATGAAAAGGAGTAATTCCCCTAAATATCCAAAGAATATAGTAAATAATTGCTTGAATATATGTAATCACTTACAGAACAACTGGTCCATGAGTTGGCGCGCTAATGAAAAGCAAATCTACACCTATCGAATATATATTCTCTGTAAGAATACTGTCGTATGTTCCCAAATATTCGATAGGTAAAGGGAATCTTTTCAACACAGAAACCGGAGTCGCCTGTGAATGTGTTTTATAAAGTTCAAAAACCACCGCGTGAGTTTCTGAATGAGCTAGTTTTGAGTACAAGGATTGGTTCAATTGGCATTTCGGGTTGGTGAACTTTGGGAGGAGAACCTTTTATTCGTTATGCTTTCATTCCATTTTATCTTTTTTTTTTTATTACACACTCTCGTGTGATAACCCGCACACGGGGTAAACCACATGGTCACGTGGACCTGTTGTTGACTCCTACAGCAATCAAATCTGTGAATATTTTGTGATTGTCTTCGAATATGGAACTTTGACCTGTCCAGCTTACAACCGCTTATCGCAGAATCGATGTGGACAAACGCAAACATGGTTGACAAACCGGTTCGGTCTCAAACACTATACCGGTACTCATTGAACTCGTGCAACATTAATCTCAGTTTGGAACTGTATTTCGGTTTCCAATATCATGTGTATAAGATGGCTATGGGTAAAGGGTATTAATTCCTTGACTGTATCTGCTACTGCAATGTTCTCAGTTCTGTTTTACCACCTTTTGAATTCGCGTTACCTTGAGTGCTGCGATAAAAATTTTCCAGTGTTAAAAATAGGAATAAGTTGGCTACCTCGACAGTAATCATCAGTGGCCAGGGAGCAGCATGTATTAGGGGAAACGGATAAACGCTGTTTGACAGTCAACTTGGTGAAAGCTATGAAAAGCGACTGCCTCGAGTGCTCAAAAATGAAGAGTTACAAACAAAACATTGATAAAATGAAAGTGCGAAACCTGTATCATGCCCAGTAAAGTGAAAGGACGAAAATACAACATCCTGGGCTATAACCGGGTTGGTGGACCACTAGGGGAGTTAGCCAAAAGCCCTGATTCCAAATCAACCAAGAGAAGCCGTTGGAACCACACCCACACCGTTCCGGTTGTGGTAGTGGTCACCGGCTCGATTGGGCATCTTGGACGTTTGACCCCGTCCAAAAGGCGTATGATCCGATAAACTGGACACCGGCTCCCAGTGGATTGTGTTTTCACACCACCCCGCTGCCTTACGGGTCAGGCTTTGGCTAATCAAAGGCTCGGATCGTGGATTTCCCAAGAAAATTCACCTGCCTCGGCCTGGGCAACCTGGCAGTAATCGGCCCACATGCAAATCGTGGAACGTTTTTCTTTTTTATAAAGGTTATTGTACTACGAGTTGTTTGGCACACCGTCTGGCCCAAGACGTGTGTGAAATGTATTTAGGATGCCTACGAGTCATTTTTATAAATAAATTCTAACTTTTTTGCTGAAACTTTCTTGTTTTACGACTGATGCAACTGCTACCGTCATAATAATCGAAAAATGGTACATAGCATTTGACTAATAGAAGCAAAAACACAAGTGGGATACGTTGCGTCTGATTTGGGGTGATATCATCTTCGATCCCGTGAATGACAATTGAAACGCTAAATATTAGGAGGGAGCTTGATCAAGACCTGTGTATCATCAAAACTATAGCTGCTGTGACGCATACATAGGCAGAATAAAATTCCAGGCAGCATAACTGATGATCTAGTACATCTCATTGGTTGGCGAAGTCGATAACACAACCGGTAACCGGAGGTCAGTTAATCATGATAAATCCTAGGTCATTTATTGCGGAACACGCCATGACATAAGGGCACACAGCTAACCGTAGTGGATCTTTTAAGCCGGTGCTAGTTAACTGCAAGGCTGAACGTCTGACAATAAGTTCCAGGTCACTATTTCGACTAAGTCATCCAATTTTATGCTCCCCAAAGTCTTTGACCCAATCAAACACTTATTGTAGAGTTGATAACTCAACTGCATTTTTATAGTTATTGTTTGCACATGCAAACTCTTTCACTCTGTTTGGTCAACCCGATGTCTTACGTATGTGCCGGCCTGTTTTAAGTCGGTGTTTGATGTGATTAAACGAAACATAAACATTTAGAGACATTTATCTTTTTTTCGGTATCGATGAAATGGAAAAATGGGAGCCAAATTACTCAACGTCGAGAACACGTAACTCCATGCTACCGGAATTTCCTGAGTATGAATTAAATGCTCTCGTAGCTGGTCATGACGTAATAATTCCAAATAAAACAGCAACTGGTAACCATAAATGTATTCGACCCTGGTATATCATGCAATGAAACCTCGCAATTGATCAAAATTTGTTATTGTCAATCACTGATGGATCAAACTCACATTCATTGTATCCCCATCCATTACCATAGCATCCAGGGTTGTATGACCTTCCTCATCTGGTGAACAGCCATATCCCACACTCGTGATAATCCTGTCTTCCTCCGCGTTTGAGCAGCCAGCGACGACTGCATTCACGGCGGTCCCAACGCGTGATTCGTTGTGAATTAGCACATTCTGACTCAAAACTTCCCAAGCTGCATCTGTAGCCTTGGTAAACGGCCAGGTACAAACCACGATGACATGTTTTGACTGGGAGGATGAAATACCCGAAACAAACTTCACCAGGAATATGAGTGGCAGAAATTGCAAGGCCATGTAAAATTCACTTTTATCGCCACCTTTAGCTGCATACGATCTAGCTGCTTGTAAACACTGCGCAGAGAAGTATCGATCATATAAATCAAACAATCAATTGAACGGAGCATGTAAACTTAAACCGAAACTATCCGAGTTTGCGTTCTGACCGCACTGATGTCGTATAAACAATAGTGACATTCAGACCGGTCCACGACCCAATGAAGCTTTGCTTATTTGTTACGTGAGAGCATATGCGAGTTAGGTGACCGTCATAATTCGGATCCACTTACACTGATTGGTTCAGTATGGCATTGTAAACATGCATAGAGACTAAAAAGCTGGAATTAAATGTAAAGGAGTTGCGACTTTGTTGGATGTCGTTAGCAAAGTGAATCGATCGACCCCACTGGGCGGATAAAACCAGGAAACACAGGGATACATTTCTCGCTTGTAAACTGGATAACTGATAAAACCATTTCACTCTGTCCATACAAAACATGGCACGACTCACATTCGAAAGCTTATCGCGACCATCTAACCTCGTTAGTTCTAGCTAACTTGGTTACAATCCAATCGGGGACATTTGAAACCGAACTAATTAGACGTACGCTGCTGATGAGACCCAACAAATTTGTACATTCGGTCTTTACAGTTCATAACTGCTCTTTTGTTTATACGGCGGAATTCGTTGTGTTCCGGAAAGAAATCCCGCACTCCCGTGTTATATTTCTAACGCTCATTGCATATTGAGCAAATTTTTAAATGATATCAAGCTGTTTATTTGATGAGTTCCTCATGTAATGGAGTTTTAGTTTGAACAACCATTAACCATGCACTTTCGTGCGCCGGTTTTGGTTGCTGTCTTTTGGCTCCCATTGGGATGAAGAATAGGAGAAGAAAGGAAAGTTGAAAGTGGATTCGAAAAGAAAATGGAGAAGTTCAGTGGTCTAAGGTTGGAAAGAAATTAAGGAGATGCCCGAAGGCCACTGTTTACGACACCCAGCCATATCGCTCAGTGTCTCTAACCATTGGTTACGATCATCCCGAGGTCCCCAGCCAGGGAGCCTAACAGGACCTATGTGACCCAGTTACCTGGTAAGGGTTTTCATACCCTCGTGCCAGGTCTTAACTTGACCACCCTTGGCTTTTTTCCACTCTGTTCCCTCGTGCCAGGTCTTAACTTGACCACCCTTGGCTTTTTTCCACTCTGTATCTTCTTCGGCGAAAATCGCTCGCCGAGGTAGCCTACCTGGTGACATGCGTAGCATATGTCCCAGCCAACGTAATCTATTTAGGTCGATCACTTGCTCCAGTGGGCGACCGTATTTACCCAAAACTCTGTCCCTAACCTCAGCATTGCTCATCCGGCTACCCCACC